TTCGAGTGGATCTGCCTTATTTGAACTTCCATAAGGAAAAGGTGGTTCTTCGAATGGATTCTCTGTTTTTACCTAAAGTAGCCACTCCGTTACATATAAATCAAGAAATCGTCTTACCTGCTTTCTTTCCATCACCATCGAACCCGATTGAGAGATCTTTACATATTCTCGATGTGTGTTGATGCTTGGCTTTCTACAGATCGCACACAGAATCCTTTCGACTTTCCAACAGACTTTTTGTGAAATACTCTGAGCATGACAAAGGCTCTCCTGTCACATCACAAAGACTTTCAAAATGGATCGTTCAAAACATTGTATTGGCGTATCAACTTGCTAAGATAGACTTACCTGTCGTTCCGAGGGGTCACTCCATGAGAGCAGTAGCAGCTTCTTCTGCCTTTGCCACAGGAATCCCGATCCAAGACGTCTGTAAAGCTGCAGCTTGGGCTGCTCCGTGCACTTTCACCAGGCGTTACTGCCTTGATGTGCGTGCCAGTCAAGACTGTTCCTTTGGTAGGGCTGTCCTCTCTGCCATCCTTCAGTGATGACACCACCCTCCTCTGAGTCTGGTAAGCTTGCTACTCACTCATATGTGTGATGCAAAGAGGCCACAACGAAGAAAAGCAGGTTGCTTACCTGTAACTGATGTTCTTCGAGTGGCCATCTGTGCATTCACACAACCCACCCGCTGGCCCCACTCGGTGTCGGTGAGTGGATTTTTTTATCGGTACCATACCTTAATATTCATGGTACCTAACAAACTTGTTAAAATGTTTTTCTCTCCCATAAGGGAGCGAACGATCAGTCTTTCAAAGACTAGGGAAAATGGCGGACACTCCACTCTATATATAATACTGAGGGGGTGGGAGTGGAGTTTTCCCGCCAAAAACCGTTAGCTTTCTAATCTTTCCAGCCTTAGGCACTGCGCAGGCGCAGCACCTTGTGATGCACAGATGGCCACTTGAAGAACATCAGTTACAGGTAAGCAACCTGCTTTTCCTTCTAAGAGGTTAGAAGGAAGGGGAAAAGGACAGGGTTCAGTTTGCTTCTGTAAATGCACTAATAATCCATGAGCATTCTCAGGATCCAAGTGGAAGCTGCTTTGTATTCAGAAAACCATCTCAGTGACTTGGCAAATCATAGGTTAATCATGACTTGTCATCATATGTAGGAATGAAGACAGTGTGGACACTTAGAGCAGTATGAGAATTCTCAGTTACCTGAAAAAAAGCTCTTGATAAAGATTTGAAAAGCCAAGGATATTTCAGTGACATGGAGTGTAAAATCTGAGTCTAAGGTACCATCTGTTAATGTTTGTTTGTTTGTTCGATTTATATCCTGCCTTTTTCCTACAAAGGGCTCAAGGCAGCTTACACCATTCTCCTCCTCCATCTTATCCCCACAACAACAACAAGCCTGTGACTTGTTGGGCTGAGAGTCTTATGACAGGCCCAAAGTCACCCAGTTGGCTCCATGGCTGAGTGGGGACTAGAACCCAGATTGTCTGAGTCCCAGTCCCATGCTCTTAACCACTACGCCACACTGGCTCTCAAATGTTGAGATTTTAGAAACAGAGACATTCTGAATGTGCAAACAAACATGGAAGATATCTAGCATACTGTCTTAAGAAGGAAGTGGAAAGAAGATCTATAACAGCACTAAAGAAGATAATGGCATGACGTGTGGAAAAGGAATTTCATGAGCAATTTATTGTTTTCAAAACTATACAAAAAATATCAACCCCAGAAGATGAGATGGAGAAGTATATTGAAGAAACAGGGCTTGAGAAATTTACTCTGGAGCAGAGGAAAATACTGAATGATACTATTATTACTCAAGAGCTATCACAAGCTATCAGCAAATTGAAAAAAAGAAGGCAAGAAGCTCATATATCACTGATACATAAAGAAGGCAATGAACCTCTGTTGCTGCACTCTTATCGACCTATTTCATTATTAAAGGTTGATTATAAACTTTTCACTTCAGTAATGAAAGAAAGATTAAGAATATGTATAGAAAAACAGATCCATACAGACCAAACTGGATTTGTCCCTAAAAATAATATGAAAAACAATATACGTTTTGTGATTGATGCAATTGAATGGGTCAAGAAGAAAAGGAAAAAAGCTACATTTTTTAAGATGTGGAGAAAGCATTTGACAATGTGGTTTGGCCTTTTCTAATGAAAGCACTCCAGCATTTAGACTGTGCTTCAAGCTTTTTGAACTGGATGCAGGCAATTTATGCTAGACAACATGCAAAGATTCTAATCAATGGTGTATTAACTGACAGTTTTCAAATAGAGAACACATCAAGGATGCCCGTTCTCACTGCTTTTATTTAATCTTGTATTGGAAATCTTAGCAAAAAGGATAAGACAGAGCCAAAAATTAAAGGCTTTAAAATGAAGAATATGAAGTAAAATATTATGCAGATTATATGGTCTTGACTATTTTGGATCCACATTAATCCATATAGCACATAATAGAGCAAGTTGAAAAATTTGGACTTTATTCAGGATATAAGATCAATAAGAAAAAACAAAAATTTATTAACATTTGTAACAAAGCAAGAAGAGGAAAACATTAAAAAAATCTCAGGATGTAAAATAACTTCAAACCCATTTAAATACTAAGGAATAAACATCACAGGACCCAATGACACACTTTTTCAAGACAATTATCAAACAACTTGGATGAAGATTCAAAAGGACTTACAAAAATGGACTAAACTTAAAGTATCTTGGTTGGGGAGACATTCAGTTATAAAAATGAATGTGTTAACCTAAACAGAACTTTCTTTTCCAGATGATATCAATTGCAATACCGTAAAAAGTTTTTCAAGATTGGTAGAGACAATTAAATAGTTTTAAGGGGAATGGCAAGAAACTGAGGATCGGATTTAAAATTATTCAGGATGCAAAGGAGAGAGGAGGACTTGCTGTACCTAATTTGAAGTTACAGTATTATGCAGCAGGCCTGGTCTATATTGCAGATTGGTTTCTAAATGCTTAAGATAGGTGAGTGAAGTTGGAATTGGCTGATCTTGAAGACAGAATACATAATCTTTTATGGGCTAAAATGTCAGTTAAGAAGGCTCTGATCTTAAATAACAGCCATGTGCTAAGAGACAATTTAATAAAAATTTGGTATTCTATGAGGGAAAAAAATAGCCCTCCAATCTCTTTCCTGGTGTCCCCAGTTGAAATGTGGAAAACACTCAAGGAGGAATGATGATTTTCTAGCCCATTGAGATCTTATTGATCAATCAGGATAAGTTAAATCTTGGCAACAATTAAAAGATGACCAGGGGGAGGTGGAATACAGTGGGTTGTTTACCATCAATTGATCTCAAGACTGAAGGGGGAAATGCAATCAGGAGAAGGCATCTTAAGAGTTTTGACATATTTTGAAAAGCTGATTACCCAGCAAAATGATCATCTAATGGGAGGCCTTTACAAATTGTTATCACACTATGATACTGACAGCCATCAAGTTAAGAAACATATGACAATCTGGGAACAGAATCTTGGTGAAGAGAAACCACTGAGTCAATGGAAGCTGTTTGGAAGAAAAATATTAAATTCACTGCTAGTCAAGCATTAAGAGAAAACTGATATAAGATGTTTTATCAGTGATATATTACTCAAAAAGATATTAGAAAAATAGGTAAGAATTATGGAAAATGTTGGAAAAGTAAAAGGGTGGATAGAACGTTCTATCATATGTAGTGGACATGTGAAATAACACAAAATTTTGGGAAATTGATACATGCAGAGATGCAGAAAATCTTTAAAATTAAGTTTCCTATGAGTCCCAATGCATATCGTCTCAGAGACCCTTTGAAAAACATGTCAGAGTTATTTAGGTATATGACTATGGCAGCAAGAATTCAGTAGCTTCTACATGGAAAGCCCCCAACCATTGAAGAATGGTGAAATATATTAACAGATTATGCAGTGACGTCAAATCTAACTGTAAATAGAAGACAGAAGAATTTAATGACAAATGGATATTTAATTGTGCTTAGCCTGAATAATGTTCAGGGGAGTTTAGAAAAGAAAAAGGAAAGTATCTCTTAATGTATAGAATAATTATTTCTTTTTTACAAATTCTCATACAGCATGGGAAGATAGGAAGAGAGTCAGTTTGTGGGCCTGTAATATAGGCTGTATCTGTTGAAAATTCTCTTGGCAATTGTGTCTAATTAGTTCACTTGAGTTTGTTCTGTTTATACTAGTTTCTTTCTATTCTACATTTTTCTATGTATTTATATATGTTAAGAAAATAAAATTTAATAATAATAAAAGAGGGAGACCTCCAAAGCAGGCCTTCCTGCCCCACCTATCTGGAGAGGGAAATCACTCCAGTATTTCCTTGCTGAAAAGAGGAGGTGCTGGTAAGTTTGGGGGTGTGGGGGTTAGAGATATTCAGTTTTTATATTTTCACAGGGGTCCTGTGCCCCTAACCCCCAGAAACGTGGAGGGTTGACTGTTCGTGATCTGACTTAACATGCACGTTTTGACTTAAAGAAGAATTTCCATTTTCTCAGATGCGGAGCTCATTTGTAGCCTAGGGACGCCTGTACGCCTAAACTGACTGCCTTTCTTTTGAGTAAACATGTATAGGATTGTGCTGTAAATCACTACTCGGAGTCAAAACACTGTTCAGAATTTCCTCACTCTCAGAGCAGTACAATGGAACCTATTACCTGAGGAAGTTGTGGGTTTTCCCTCACATTCAGAAAGTGTCTGGGCAGTCCTCTGAGTGGGATGGTGTAACTTAGTGTCCTGCAATAGCAGGGGGCTGGACCTGATGGCCTTCTTACATATGCACATGCTATTTAAACAATCTCATCTTGTAATATAACACAGTTCACTGTTTTTCAGCTTCTGCTCCCATCTATAGGATACAAATAACTATCACCTATCGCACTAAATTTCTAGTAAGCCCTAAAAATGCTAATAAATTATGTAATCTGTCTCTCTGTATTTATTGCAGCACACCAGTGCTGGTGCAGAGGGTTCAGGGCAAGCGCTGGCATCTCCAGGCTCCTGTCTTGAAGAGTTCCGCAGTGCTCCTTTCATAGAATGTCATGGAAAAGGCACCTGCAATTACTATGCTAATGCATACAGCTTCTGGCTTGCCACTATTGAGAGAAATGAAATGTTCAAGTAAGTTGGGGGAATCTGCACTGCTCAAGGATTTAAAGAACAGTACATTTGAAGGAAGCTGTTTTATAAGATAGTTAAAATATATGTCAGTGTTAAAAAATATGATTTGTTTCCTTTTTGTTATTACCTGCCCAGATTCTATTCCAGTTGGACCAATGCAACACTTGTGACAGCAGTTTGTGGGTGTTGCTGTCTAAAAACAATTTTGGGTGGGCAAATTGTATATGTGCACCCTGAGATTTGCCAACTGGGTGAAAAATAGTGGCTCAGATGGTGGACATAAAAAAGGGGGTAAAGTGACAGGGTACTGTTACTTTCATACTGAGCCAAAAGTATTATTTGAGAGGAGTCAATACTTTCAAGGGCAACAAGATTATTTTCAAGAGCAAAGTTACTAGAACAATGTGGGAAGCACCCCTCCAAGAACTGGTCACAGCTTAAGTACTGACTAGGAGCAGAATTCAAACCCATTTACTTACGCCCTTTTAAATATACCAGACTCATAATGGGCAAAAGCTCCTGAATTAGGAAAGTTAAACCAAAAAATTGTTCCTTCATGGATAGCTCTTTTCATTTTTCATTTCAGAAAACCTACTCCTTCCACACTGAAAGCTGGGGAACTACGTTCAAATGTTAGCCGTTGCCAAGTCTGTATGCGACGTACATAATGGCTTGCTAGTTGTGCTTAATGTCACAATATGGTGCTATAGCAGTGAAGGTATGAAAACAGGTGTGTTTCTAGGTATGAAAACAGTAAACTCTTTTGGCCCTTTACTTGTGGAAGAGAAGACAACACAATGAAGAGAAACATCAAATAGCACTTTTGAAGAAACATGATATATATTAATGTAATGCACTGATACTTACTCTAAATCTGGGGGTGGGAGGGGAAGCCAGAGGTGCTAGGAGGGATGCAGAACTTCCCTTTTCCCTTTGTATGAATAAAATATCTATGGTTATGTTATCATTTTTTCCTAACTCCTATTTTGAACTCCTAGGCTATTTAGTATGTACTTAAGATCATTGAACAAAGAAGAATTCTGGTAAGAGAGTATGACCCAGCAAACTTTCTTACTGCAACAATGGAGCATACTGACAGGCAGATATTTTCTCTTGCCTAATTTCTATGTTTCATTAAGCAGCTACAGGCCAGAGGAAATAAAGTTGTTCCTGATCTATAAAATATGTTGCCCTCTGGCTTTTTAGCACCAGTTTTCCTGTGGAATACAGAATAGTCCAGTATAAATAAAAATATGCAAGTGCTTAATATTTATCTCAACAATTTGGCAAATGATGCTTTGGGTTTTGGGTTTTTATTATTACAGCATTAATATCCAGCACTTATACTAGAAGAAAAGCATGACCATTCAGTTCTCATTAATATCCAAGCTGGTAAACCAAATCTAGCCATTCTGGCTATCTCATGATCACAACAATATGATGTTGTGCTTTGAACTTTCTGTTTATGTATTTAAGATGTTCAGGGTTTTAATTACTACTGAATTACTTGATCCTAAACACATAACAGGCCTTAGATTAATATTCTAAATTTTTAAAACTCCTCAATAGATTTATATTTGGTTTCTATAAAATATACCAACATTTCAGAAAGTGTACAAAACAGATTGTACCAAAGTTCTCACAACTAACTCCTAGATGATGTATGTTTTGAAGATTAAAGTTTGTAATAAAACTATTTGTGTAAAAATCTAGGTTTTTACAATGATATCTTTTTTTTAAAATAAACTGCTTATAAGCAACTGATTCAAATTCAGGTCAAATTTATTCCAGATATGCAACTACATCCCTGAGAAGAGGAATTAAAGCAAAGTTACATACCTGTAACTATCCATGTTTGTTGGTTCATATTCACAGCAGAAAACAGCACACATGGGTATTTTTTTAAAATATTCAGAAGCAATGACTGGTCCCATATATAAATCAACACATCACAATGTCAGATGCACATACAAGAACATATTTATTAGAGAAACTATGACAACATGATTCAGAAAACAACCCAATTAGCTTCAGTCTGCTTCAGAGGCTGCTGAAATGGTCACAAATTCTGACCTCAGTCACATGATTTCCAGTAATTGATTATCACTGGAAATTAAATTACTACTTTTTGGTACTTTTAATAGAATGTGATTTGTAGGCACTGTAAATCTTAGGGGGGAAATTCCAGGGAAATGTGACAGGTTGTTTATGCTAATTTTCTTTAATTTCAATCCTTTCATATTTTGGCAGAATTAGATGAAAGTGTTGTGCAAAGTTAATATAAGAATAGCCCTGCTGCATCTGCCCAAGAGTCCACCTAATGCAGCATTATGTTCGCACAGTTACCAACCATTTGCTCCCTGGACCCCTCAAGCAGGACATGAGTACAAACAACAGAAACTGCCTGCCTAATTTCCCCAACAAATGGCATGCACAGGCATATTGTGGCAGCATATAGTCATCAGGACTACTAGCCATTGATATCCTTCTCTATAAATTTGACCAATCCCCCTTTAAAGCTGTCCAAATTGTTGGCCATCATTACATTTCTTGGAGGTGAAGTCCACAGCATAACGATGGAATATGTACTTCCTCTTATCTGTCCCAATCACCCACTAATCAGCTTCATGGGATGACTCCAGCTTCTTGTATTATAGGAGAGGGAAAGATATGTCTTCTTGCCCACTTTTCACACCATGCATCATTCACTTCATGTCTCCTCATAATATTTTTGTAATGGTATGAAACTGAGAACAATGCCACCAGGAGGCCAGATAGTCTCACCATGCTTGTTTCCTAGCAGGGTCACCAGGAAGAATGGTCAAAGCAAAACACCAGACTAAGATGTATCCACCCTCTTCTGGACTAACACATCAGCAGAAGCAAATGGATCTCTTTAATGGACATGGGGGTGTGGACACTTCTGAAGGGCAGCTAGCAGGCAGCAGCAATAGTTGAAGGTGACACTGGCAGAGGATCTTTCACATACAATGGCCGTAACACAACCTGACTCTGGTTAGTACTGTGCAGATGAAGGATATGGCAAAATACTTCTGAACCTTCTTACCTTGAAAACCCAGTCATGAAACAATACAAAAGGAAACGATATAGTGCCAGAAGATGAGAACCCCCTTCCTTTCCCTACCATGGAGCATGGGGGTACCACAGGGACTCCATGTGCACTATCCTCCAGAGGGGTGGCGCTCTTGAAGCTAGCACCGCTTCCAGTAGTTGGTGGTTCTGTCACCCTTGCCCTGTCTGGACCACCATGGTGCACTGGTGTCCTCCATTTCTGCACTTCCTGCTATGGTCACCCAAGTCTGCTCCCTTTGACCAGTTCCTTAGCCACCACAAAGATTTCCATGAGTGCCCTGGCATCCTCTAGAGTCTGTGGTCTAGTGACAATAACAATGGAACAACCTGTCAATTAAGGTGCTCACCTGGAGGGGTGGGAAAAAAAATTAATTCTCACCCACATTTCCAGCCTAGAAATGCTTGAAAATGCTCATGAGAAGATGAGCTTCTGGCAGCATCAGAATATGCTGCTGAAGACAAACCACCATCCCCATCCCACCCCACCCCAGGTTGAATTTATAAACCATTGCTTAAATATGAAACTGAGACTCTCTCTCACACACACACACCCCACCACCACCCGTTTAATAACACTGAACACCATATAATTATAAAGTGCCCATAAAGTGCTCATATTCATCTCACTAGAAAGGGACTTTTGGGACACTTTTTATTTAGGACAGGGACAATGTTTACCAGCTATACAACAAGAGTTAGATTTTGTGTGAGGCATATTTTGGATGCAACAAAAGAATGTAACCAAATGAGATTGTCATCAATGGTCTGTTCTCAAAAGGATCTGGATAGATTGTGAAAGTGGGCGGGGAACAACAGGATGGTGTTCGAAGCATAAGTGAACAGGCTTGCACTTGGGGTCAAGAATAGGTGCCATAGGTACAGGATGGGGGAACAAGTGGCTGGAGAGCAGCACTTGTGAAATGGATCTTGGGGTGCTTGTGGACAGTACGCCAAACATGAGCCAGCAACATGATGTGGCAGTTAAGAGGGCAAATGCCACCCTTGGATGTATAGCCAGAACTGTGGTTTCCAGATTGATAGAGGTGCTGGTACCACTCTGTAAGACTCTGGTGCACCTACAACTGGAGGACTGTGTCCAATTCTGGGCTCCACATAACAAGAGGGACATACCAAAGTTGGAATCAGTTCAGTGCAGTTCAGTGCACAAGGATGGTAGCCAGATTGGAGGGGATGTCATATGAGATGAAATTGAGGGAACTAGGACTTTTCAGCTTGAAGGAGACTCTTAATAAATCCAAAATAATAATAATAATAAACAGAATAACATTTCTAATATAAATTTTGAATATATCTATTGTGGTGGATACATTTAGTGTGTACCCTGACACACACGCACGCACACACGTGCGCGCACACAACCAGACTATTCTTGGGCACAATTATGCATAAACTTCCACAAAGGCAGGCCAAATATCTATATATTTGTCCATTTGAAAACATGGTCCAGCATTGTCCAGTCCTCAATCACTATATTATTAAAGGTGGCCATTTGTCCTTCAAATGTTGCAATATTAATTTGTTAAATTGTCCTTTCTCTGTTGTAAGGACAAATTAGTTCTTAAAAAGGCACCACAGAGAATCCATTAATGTTGGTGTTGCATTGTCAAGAAATGGGTAGATAATTAAGAACACACACATCTGTAAATACTAAATAACTTTCCATCTCATAGCATTATCCATAATATTTGGACATTGCTGAAAAATATGGGTGAGAGAATCATTATCTGCATTATGCCTGCAAAAAATGGCTGATTCAAATAAGCCCTTAGTTAAAAGACGTTGTAGCATCTGTAAGCAAAGGCCAGAGGGAGTCCTCTTCAACCTTCCATTGCTAGACTGAGCCCAACCCCACATTGGACTGAGACTCAGCCCTGCAGTTTAGACAACAGATTTAGCAGCACAACTCACCCAAACACCAAACCAGAGCAAAAGTTAATTTTTAAAAAGAGGAAAGGGAGAGAGGGACTAGGATACAGAAAGATAGAGAGAAAGGGCAAAGGAATAGCAGCAACAGTTCTGGGCACCTGGACCAAGGTGCACCACCTGAATAAACAGGAAAACTAACTGTATTCTATTACTACCTAACACCAGTCTTCTCACAGTGAAGGTCTCAGAGGTTGGCCAGGGACTAATACCTCCAACAGACTTGGAGTCCAGAAGGAAATCAAAAGCCCTCAGAACTTCTCTGCTCCTTCCTGCTCCTCCAGCTACCAGTAGTTTATACCTTTAAGCAACAGAGCAATAACACTAGCCAGATGTACTTGAAAGGAACTCATCTTTCCTTTCAAGCACTGGTGCATAAATTACTCACCTTCCTGGTGACAGGAGTAACTCCTGGACCAACTAGTTCTTTCATTAACCCCTACTTACCTTCTGAGAGCTAAAGCATCAATATACCATATACTGTTGTTGCGTGATGTCAAGTTATTTGCAACTTGTGGTGACTGCACCCTTAAGAGTCCTGCTCAGATCTTGCAAACTTAAAGCTCCTTTATGGAATCAATAATTGGTCTTCCTCTTCTTCTGCTTTCAATTCTCCTTAGCATGATTATTTTCTCCAGAGAGTTTTACCTTCTTGTGATGTGCCCAATATAGGATAGCCTCGGTTTTGTCATTTTTGCTTCCAAGGAAAGCTCTCTTGATTTGAACTAGCACCCACTTGTTTCTCTTTCAGTCAATTCAGCATATTTGCTATACTCTCCTCCAGCATCATGTTCCAGATGCATCCATTTTCTTCCCATCAGCTCTCTTCACTGTCCAGCCTTCACATCCATACATAGTGTTCAGGAATCCAATACTGTAGATGATCTTGGCCTTAGTCTCCAGTGAAACATCTGTACACTTGATGATCTTTTCTAGTTTTTTCATTGCTTCCTAGTCTCAGTCTTCTTCGAATTTCTTGGCTGCAGTCTCCATTTGAATTGATGACTGAGCCAAGCTATGTGAAATCTTTCACAATTCCAATTTTTTCACTGTTAACAGTTCAAATCATGACACCTGCAGTCATGATTTTTGTTTCCTTAATATTCAGCTGCAGTCCTACCGGTATGCTTGCTTCTTTCACTCTCATCAGCAGTTATTTCAATTGCTGCTGCTCTCTGCCAGTACTATGGCATTATCTGCATATCTTAAATTATCAATGCGCCTTCCACCAATTTTCACTCCTGATTCTAATCCAGCTTTCCTTATGGTATGTTCTGCATACAGATTGAACAGATAAAGATATAAAATGCATCCTTGTCCGATGCCTTTGCCTATGGAAAACCATTCTGTTTCTCCATATTCTGTCCTAACAGTAGCTTCTTGACTACAGCACAGGTTATGCATCTGGACAATCAAGTGCTGGGTCACACCCGTTTCTTTCAGAGCCATCCATAGCTTTTCAGAGATCATACACTCAATGACTTTGCTGTAATCTATAAAGCATAGACTGAGCTTCTGAAATTATTTAGGATGCTCCGGTATCCAATGTATATTTGTGATGCAATCATAAGTGCATCTTCTTTTTAGGCATCCAGCTTGATCATCAGAAATTTCTCTCTGGTAATATTTTTTTTATCACAGCACTTTGCTTGCTATAGAAATTATTGCAAGGATTCCATGGTTGCTGCATATATTTGCATCTACTTCCCTGGGGATGGGAAAATA